TGAAAGCTTCTGGAAGATTTTTTTTACTTGGACAAATAGGCATGTATGGAGCAGAATTGACAGAGCTTTATGTAATGCTCCTTGGATCATGGAATTTGGTAATCTAACAGCTCAGTTTAGGGAGAATTTTTTTTCCAGATCACACCCTTATCCACATTGAGCATACTAATGTTAACAGCTTTATGAGGAGACCTTTCAGATTCATCAATGTGATAGCTGACAATGATAAATTCCTACAACTAATAGCTAGCATTTGGGAACAAGACGTCCAGGGGACATGCATGTTTAGGGTCTGGTCTAAATTAAAATTGTGCAAAGACCCTTTGAAGGATCTTATGTGCAGGGAGGTGGGTAGTATTGACAAAAGGGTAAATGAATCTAGAGATAATCTGCAGAATATCCAGACTTTACTTACTTTGCATACAGATATTGTCTTGATGGGAAAGGAGAAGGAAGCATTGGATGAGCTAAATAAGTGGTCGGACATACAGGAAAGAATTCTAAAGCAAAAAGCTAAGGCACACTGGATAAATGTTGGGGATGGGAATAACAGATATTTTTTGCTTGTATGAAGGCTAGGGCCAATTCAAACAATATATCTGTATTAAAGGGAGGTGATGGTAGAGTATTGCAGAAGCATGATGATATTAAAGATGAAATCCTTCAGTTCTATAAAGGGCTCCTAGGATCTGATACTGACAGAGTGCCTTGTATTGACTTGAATATTATGAGACAGGGACCTAGTCTTACCATGCAACAACAAAGGGATATGTGTTCGGAGATAACTCAAGAGGAAATCAAAGCTGCTCTCTTTGATATTGATGATAACAAGGCCCCAGGGATTAATGGGTTTAATGCTCTATTTTTTAAAAAAGTTTGGCCTATTGTTAGAGAGGATGCATGTGAAGCTGTTCAGGAATTCTTCCAAAGATGCAAAATGCTAAGAGCTGTGAACAATACAGTGGTGACTTTGGTGCCAAAATCTACTCATCCAGAGACTGTGCGAGATTTTAGACCTATAGCATGTTGTTCTACTCTTTATAAAATTATATCCAAAATCATCTCAGGAAGAATCAAAGGTGTAATTGATAAAATAGTAGGGCATAGTCAGTCTGCCTTCATACCTGGAAGACTTATATCAGATAACATAATTTTAAGCCATGAGTTGGTCAAAGGGTACACTAGAAAACACATATCTCCAAGGTGTATGATCAAGGTAGACTTGTAGAAAGCTTATGATTCAGTAGAATGGTACTTCATTGAACAAATGCTTAAAGAACTTGGATTTCCCGAGAATGGTATTATGGATCATGACATGTATAAACTCAGTTAGTTACACTTTATTGATTAATAGGGGTTAGTCAGATACATTGAAGGCAAGGAGGGGTTTGAGACAGGGTGATCCTATGTCTCCTTACATTTTTGTGTTGCTTATGGAATATTTAAACAAGTGCTTGGGTACATTGAAGGATGAGCCTGAGTTTAATTTTCACCCGAGATGCCAGAAGTTGGGAATCACACACCTTTGCTTTGTAGATGATTTGCTACTGTTTGCTAGGGGAGATACCAAGTCAGTCCAGATGCTTAGGAATAGATTTGCCCTATTCTCTGAGGCTTCTGGGCTAAAAGCAAATCTAAACAAAAGTCAAGTCTATTTTGGAGGGATAGATGAGGATACAAGAATGAATATTCTGAACTTGCTGGGGTATGAGATGGGGGAATTGTCGTTCAAATATCTTGGAGTTCCTCTGTCGACTAAAAGACTCACAGCTATACAATGCTGGCCATTGGTGGATAAGATTACATCTAGAATTACTTCTTGGATGGCTAAAAGCTTGTTATATGCAGGGAGGCTGCAGCTCATCAAAGCTGTCTTATTTGGGGTTCAAGCATACTGGTCACAGTTATTTCTTCTGCCTCAGAAAGTGATTAAACTAATTGAGGCTACATGTAGAAGTTACTTATGGACAGGTGAAGCCACTATCTCTAGAAGAGCCCTAGTAGCATGGGAGAAAATCTGTTTACCTAAAGGAGTAGGAGGACTAAATGTTCTTAACTTAAGGATATGGAACCAGGCTGCTATATGCAAGTTGTTCTAGGCTCTAAGCCAATACAAGGAGAAATTATGGATCACATGGATACATACATACTATATAAAGAAACTGGATCTATTCACTATGGTGGTGCCAAATCAGGCTTCATGGATGGTTAGGAAAATAATGAATATGAGAAAGAATTGGCATAAACTAAGTACTTGTTCTCAGCTAACCAAGAGGGGAAAGTTTCAGATTACAGCTGCTTATAAAACTTTGAGAGGTACAATAGTAAATGTTCCTTGGAAGAAGTTGACTTGTCACAATGTTGCTGCTCTTAAACAAGTATTCATTCTATGGCTTGCGTTGCTTAGTAAACTAAGAACCAAAGATGTCTTACTGAGTTGGGCATTAGTGTGGATAGTGTATGTATGTTATGTAACTCCTGCCCAGAAACCTCTTCACATATCNAAAGATTGCTATGTTTTTGGGGTATTTTTCGGTTGAGAATCCTTTTTATAACTAGAAATACAAAATTTATGTGTTGTAATTGAGTTTGTTGAGTTATATTAAAAGTATATTGTGTTAATTGATTCCCTTTATATTTAAATGTAATCTCATGTTTCACGACGTGAATACAATCGAATACAGTCGAATACAATAATATATCCAGCAGTAATCTCATGTTTGACGCCATGAATACAGTCGAATACAATAATATATCCAACAGTAATCTCATGTTTGACGCCATGAATACAGTCGAATACACTCGAATACAACAACTGATTAGCTGGACTTCCCTGATTCACGCCTATTTTTGCTACTGTATTCATGAATAGAGTAGCTTAAATACATCTAATACATCTTATAACAACAGAAAACATATCTACAATCCGTAATATAGCAAATGGTATCTATAGATAGCTAATTACCACTAAAAGATAGTGCTTTATGAAAATTTCTCTAAAAAATAATAGGTAAACTTAGGCACAACCCAAATAGATTCATAAGCTAAAATATTTGTAGACCAACCCATTAATTTCTCGGCGAATTGGGCAAGTTGGATAGGTTTGGGCTCAAATTACCACCCCTATCATCTTGCAACCCCTTGTCGATTTCAGATAGTTAAGAGTTAAATATCTTACGTAGAGAGTCTGAAACTGAAATGATGTATTTTTGTACTTAAAATACGTTTATACAGTTAAAAAAAGTTATATTTCTACATAAAACACAATATAATACTGCGTTTTACTTTAACGGAAAGTTAGTCGTCAAAGTTAAACGCAGTATAATACTGCGTTTAATTTAATAAATTATTTTTTGTAGGAAAACGCAGTATAGTACTACGTTTAAGGAAAATGCAGTATTATACTGCGTTTTCCTTTAATAAAATATAACCCCTCCTTCTTCCCCACGACAGAGACCTTCCATTTTTAAAAAACAAACCTCCCCCACCACTGCTGGTCCCCCCTCCCCGCGATTAAAAAAAATCTTAGGCCCCGCCCGTCACACAAAAAGTGAAGAGCGTAGGTCCCGCATACAACCCAAGCCTTGGATTCCTTCTTTCGGGGTCAAAATTTCGAATTTTCGATATTTGAAAAAACTTAAATCGAGGTATTTCGATTTACTTTATGTCAAAACTCGCAGAGCATATGCATATTTGTTTTCTTGAATGTGTTTCCACGTTGATTTGTGTTATGTTTGCGATTAAATTTATATGTTATTTTTACCCGGATTGAATTATTAGCCTTGGGACAAAAAATACTTAAAACTTGATAAATAATTTTTATTGTTAATGAAATTGTTCACAAATATCTTTTACTGTTTTATATATAATTTCGTGAATGTTATGTTCATATGTTTGTTGTTTTTATTTAGTTTAGATTATTTATTTGCTTAAAGAATAGTGACCTTTTAGCGTAGTAAAATATAGAGCTTTTTAGCGTAATAAAATATAGAGCCTTTTAGCGTAGTAAAATAAGGAGCCTTTTATCATAGTAAAATATAGAGTCTTTTAGCGTAGAGTCTCTGTAGTTTAAGTATGTAGTAACTACAAACTCTATCCAATTATATTTTACAAAATTAATTATTTAATTTATAAAATAAACTTACAAAACTAACAAATTAATATATGTTGTCAAATTAACTCAAATATCGAGCCTGGAACCCATAGATAATTACTCAGTCCAATTAAATAATTAATTATTTAATTTATTAAGCTAACAAAATTTTAAACTTATTGAAATTGACACACATAATAATTAAGAATAGCTTGGTGCTATTGAGCCTCAAATATCGAGCCTGGAACCCCTAGATAATTACTCAATCCAATTAAATAATTAATAATTTAATTTATTAAACTAACAAAATTTTAAACTTATTGAAATTGACAAACATAATAATTAAGGATAGCTTGGTGCTGCTAGGCCTCAAATATCGAGCCTAGAACTCATAGATAATTACTCCGTCCAATTAAATAATTAATAATTTAATTTATTAAACTAACAAAATTTTAAACTTATTGAAATTGACAAACATAATAATTAAGGATAGCTTGGTGCTGCTAGGCCTCAAATATCGAGCCTAGAACTCATAGATAATTACTCCGTCCAATTAAATAATTAATAATTAAATTTATCAAACTAACAAAATTGTAAACTTATTGAAATTGACACACATAATAATTAAGGATAGCTTGGTGCTACTGAGCCTCAAATATAGAGCTTGAAACCCATAGATAATTACTCCGTTCAATTAAATAATTAATAATTAAATTTATTAAAGTAACAAAATTTTAAACTTATTGAAATTGACACACAGAATAGTTAAGGATAGCTTGGTGCTACTAGGCCTCAAATATCGAGTCTGGAACCCATAGATAATTACTCTGTCCATGCATAAAATTAAATATTTAATTTATTAAAACACAAACACACAATTAATATTGTTTAAATTACAGTAGACGACATGGACTTGCAGCCTGTGCATCCTGGACCAGTCGCGGATCAGATATTAGTTTTACAGGGCGACCATAGGTCCGCCAATGTATGGGAGGGACATCTATTGGATCAGATTCTCCGCACCAGGAAACCGGACGACTTGTGGGACTTTTTGAGGGAGAGAGTTTTCCATCCCCGCGTAGTCCATCGCCTGCGTGATACTGGCTTCCTTAGGATTTTTGAGATTGGGCAGATGCAGCTCGATTGATCTCTGATCACGGCATTGATAGAGCGGTGGCGACCGGAGACTCACACCTTTTACCTGCCTACTGGAGAGGCCACCATCACGCTTCAGGATGTTCAGGTTTTGTATGGGCTGCGTGTAGATGGACTGGCCGTTGCACTACCCCAGTATATGAGAGCTATGACACGTCCCCAGTATTTGGATTTGATGGGGCAGTATACTGGTTTCAGACCACAGGGCAAGGCTGCACTTAGAGGGGGCAGTCGCATTTCTGTGACAGCTATCAGAGAGCATATGGAGGTATTGCAGCCCGACATTATCGGCGAGATAGAGGATATCCATATTTACTGGTACACGAGGTTGGCGATGTTCCTTCTTTTTAGGGGTGTCTTGTTCCCGAACACTTCGGGAAATCTAGTGAGTCTGCGCTTTCTGCATCATCCGCAGCAGCTAGATGAGTTACCCCAGTACAGCTGGGGTGCTGCTGTTCTAGCATACTTGTACAAGAGTATGTGTCGGGCGAGCATGGTCACCCAGGTGGACATATGTGGTTTTCTGCCGCTTCTACAGGTGACAACATTTTTGAATACTCCGTTCATTACTCCGAATTTTATATAGTCAAAATGACTCTAAAATTTTACGTCAACCTTTTATCTTAGGTTTGGTCCTGGCAGGGGATCCTGCCGTTGCAGCCGCCTCTACCACCACTAGAGCCGGGTGTAGCACCTCCGTTTCTCCCTCTAGCTACGAGGTGGGTTCTCCGCCGTGGGAACTTCCGAGGTACTGATGCTCATCATAATCTCCCCCTTACCAGGGATGTGTTAGATATGCTGGTGGCCGGACAGGTAAAATATGTACCTAAACTTACTTGTTATAAATTCACTTGTGTTGCGCATACTCACTTTTATGTTATTATTTCATAGTTCATCTGGATTCCATACAGCGATGAGTTGCTAGCTCATCTGCCCGATTATTGCTTAGTCGACTGACTGCTTTGGAGAACTTCTGTCCTAATGATGTTCTTCGATGTGGTGGAGCATCATGCCACAGAGCGTGTACTTCGCCAGTTTCACCATCCCTAGACTATACCGGGGGAGCCTGCATGGGTGCCTACACATTATCAGCGGGATGACCGTACTAGGGTGGACGATGAATTTGTAGGATGGCTAGAGGCGCAGGTCCATATTTGGGACCAGCGAGAGGAGTTGATTCTGCCACCACCTTCACAGATCCACGATGTGACTATTGAACTGTATACGTCATGGTACCGCCGTCAGACACGACTGATGATCGGGAACCCATTCATGTACTTGACTATCGGTACAGACCATACGACGGGAGGCACGAGGCACTGGTATGTTTTTGTGGGATAGGTCTTATAATTGTGATATAACGTTATTTAATTAATATTTTAAATGTTGCGCAGGCTATTGGGCATCACATGTTCTACCAGTTGGGACAGAAGATGCAGCAGCATGGCGACAATGCTGCAGTCATTGAGTATGGCCGGCGGGTGGAAGAGCTGGCTCTCCGGACCCTGCAGCGAACCAGAGATGGCGCGAGGTTGGATCACGAGGCTGAGTATGCGGTGCCAGAGGAGTACCATCGAGGTAGGCCTATCCCACGAGGCAGGGGTAGGGCACGAGCCAGGGNCTGTCGACCCACCTGTTAAGGCACATGATGAGGATCTTGGAGATGATTAGCCGGGTTATTTCCCTCAGCTAGATGAGTCTTCCAGCAGCATGCCATCGTACAGCCTTCAGCTATCTCTGCCAGTATAACAGGTCACCCCGTCAGATATATTATTGATCACGAGTGCATTCGATGGAGATGTAGACCAGTTCTTTTCAGGCCCATCTACTGCAGCTGAGGATCGGCCGACCCGAGACGTGGATGGCGGGCGCAGGTTGAGTTATGCCTCATCCCCGGCGGCTGATGCGGATCTACTACAAGCGCAGGTATGTTTGTATTACTGTAAAATTTCAATTTGTTTTCTTTTCCTTAATGATTTGCCATAAATTAATTTTTAATTTTCTTATTAAGGTTTCGTCCTAGCCCATCACGGAGGCCACTGTATGTGATAATGAGGACACTATGGATGCTTATACTCAGGAAACCGACGAGACCATGGTGAGAAAATGTTTTTGACTTAACACGTACAATACTGATATACATTTTCACACGCTAAGCTTAGTAATTATTTTGTAGGTGTCTAACGGCCCGACGACCCCTTCTACCGATCTTGCCAGTTGTACTATCGATGCTGCTGCACATCCTCACATAAAGAGGCAACTTGATGATGATGATCCTAATAGTGTACCAGGGCAATAGGGGATGCGACTCAGGCCAGCTGCAACACTGAAGCACACAGGCTGCGGGACTCATTGATTTACTTTTGTTTGTATTTTGTTTAAATACTACATTATGTAAATAATGGCAACAATTCTATTTTAACAACAATTTTATTTTAACTGTACAACACAAATACAAACATAGCAAACCTAACACAACACAAACAGTACAACTAATGAAAATACTTGACAAGGGAAACATAAAGATATGCTACTACGCTCAACACGTACATGTCATTATTTAGTCACGACCGCCTAGTATTCTCTGCTCCAACCACTTGAGCTGGTCTTCCAGCTTTTTTTTTCTTCTTCCACCTCTTTGAGTTTTGCCTTCAACTTCGCAACTTCTTTCTTGGATTGGCGCTCTCTTTCCCACTGGATTTTCGCAGTCGTTTCAGTTTTTTTCAGAACGACAAGACAACTCACAAAATGTAGTATTATACCACGCTTTACATATTTAATTTTTCTGAAACGAAACAGCTTTTTCGTAGTCGTTTCAGCGTTTTTTAGAATGATAAGACAACTCACAAAATGTAGTATTATACCACGTTTTACATATTAAATTTTAAGAAGGATAATAAAGGATGTCTTGATTTTATATTTTTTTTTAATTTTTAGATTGGTCTTCTTTACTAACACCAATAAGTTGAATATTTGAACAACCATATCAGCATCCCAATTCAAAAAGTCATGTTAAAAAATAATATGTAACAAGATTGTGGAACATAATTTTATTTGATAGATATTGCAACATAGACAAGTATAGACACGTATTACAAAAAATAATACGAAAATAAAAGACTAGGTATATCCTTGATAGTTGGGTACATTCGACGAACTTGCACCAGGAGTTGGATTACCACCGCCACGCACACCACCTGAAGGACATTTACGACGGTCGTGTCATGTTTGCGAGCATATGCCATATCTACGCGCATAAACGGTGTCACCAACATCCATTTGGTTTCGTATACGCGTTCTCTTTTGCACTTGCAGCTTGCACAAATAGTCCTTGTTATACACCATCTTAAAAGGTTCTGGCGGCCAATAATGCTCAGCACCCAATGGCTGCAACTGCCCACTATACGTGTCTACGTATGCAGCAACACTGTATTGCCTATCAATATAGTTGGTTGCCCCTAAACCAACTTGTTGAAAGCACTTCAAGGCATGTGCGCACGACATGTGGTAGATGGTCCATTTCCCACATGAACACAACCTGCTAGCTTCATTCGCCGTCTGTAGATTACTCCCGATGTCCGCGGATAGCGGTCTTAACTTTAAAAACACCTCGGTCGTGATCGTACTATAAAAATGAATGCCAATGTGCTCGCCTCCTGTACCTTTCAAATCTTCGCATTGGTATTGGCATAAATTGAACATCCCTGTCCATCAATGCCGATGCAGCTCCATGCCTTTCAACAAACCTCCTCGCACTCTATTTGAATATCATGCGGACCATGACAGTGACAAGCAATCCACAAGCAGACTTCAACAAGCCGTTGAATGACTCCGACACATTTGTAGTCAGGGCTCCCAATCGTCTGCCTCCATCAACATGCAATGTCCATATGTGAAGTCATGTCCCATCAGCCAAGTATAGGCTCGTGGATCTAATTGTCGGATCGCTTCCATGCGCCTCATGAATTTGCACTACTGGTGCTTAGTTGCAGCCATCCACATTTAATCATGCAAGGTCTTGTCAGGATATTTCTTCTAGAAATTGGCCTTCAGTTGCCTCACACAGTAAGGGTGGTATGCATAGGGTTCCTGTCATTTAGGCAAGTGCCGTACAGAAGTTAAAATACCACCATGTCGATTAGATATTAGACAAATACCTGAATGTTGTATGACAACGTGCTGCTTCAAGTGGTTCAAAAAAATGTCCACGTCTCTTCGCTTTCGTTGGCACAAATGGCAAAAGATAGTAAAAATATTTGTCCGTTGGCATCTACTGCAACTGTAATCAAAAGCTTAATATCATACTTTCCATAGACATGAGCACCATCTATGGAAATTACAGGACAACAATGCACAAAACCATCAATTGCTGGTTTAAATTACCAGAACGCATAGTTAAAAATATATTCGGGTCTGTCCGGACTCCGCTCACACCTCCATTCAACAACAGCCCCGGGGTTAAAGTGTTACATTGCGGCCATGTACCTAGGCAAATATGGAAAAGACTAATCCCATTCGCCATAAATAAGTTCAAAGGCACGTTTGCGACCGAGATATGCCTTTCTTTTGGTTATAGTACAACCATACTCCTGGTGGACGACTGTAATACACTCTTTAATCTTGAACCTAATGGACACTTCCAAATATGGAATCAAGACAAGAAAAATCAAGTCTACATCCAGGTTGAAGTGATTCTCATTGAATATGTCCATTTCACATCTGTGGGTGCTAATAAATTTACCCACTTTACACAAACCTGATTTCTTCTTGCTGGCACGCAACATCCAGTGACAACCCATAAAGTCTCTACCACATACAGCCTTGTATACCTCTGTAATTGACTCACTTCATCTCACGGCACTATCTTACGCTGTAGATTTTTATAGCCCTGATTAGGCGAGCTTTATCGGGGAAATACATGCCCTTTACAAGCACCGCTGGTCAAAACTCATCCTACATCGCTGACTGAAATTCATCATCATCCCTTGTGAGGGCATCCACTTTCGGCATACTTGGAAAATTATCAAGGTAGGGAATATTCCGCTCATGAAAGGGCACGTGAGACTCGTACACTCTTGGTCTAACGGGAGATGGAGGAGCATACTCCCTCGTCAGCTCAGGTTTGGCATCCACTTCCTCCTCGTCATCACCCCCATCATGGAAGGGTGTGCCATCTCCAGACTCATCGGCATTGTTGTCATAATCACTATCATCTTCCTGACTTTGCGCATCTGGCAAATCACGAGTCAGTACGTCGTCTATGGGCAACTGTGTGAGGTCAGGACATCAAGTTGCTCGTTTTCACTGCACAAAAAGAACAAAATGATAAGCTACTCAACTAGATAAATACTTTACATATAGCTATATCACTTTACTTACAAGTCGTACTGTGTTGACGTTCCATGATGGATATTTTCTTGTTGGTGATGACTCCCGGATGGACCACCGTGGTCCAATACGCCAGAACTAAGCATATTCCAACTAAGGGCGGGGTCATAACTTGTAAAATCCATATCCGGACGGTACCCCCTATGAAAAATATGAGTGTTAATACAAATCCAATTCAAACATAAAATAAACATCGCTAAAGCGTAGAAAAATTGAAGTTTACCAGTCGTCTTATGGATTATATAAAGTCGAAAAATTATTTTGTGGCTGCTCATTCGCCGGTGGTGACAAGTTTAAATCAAGGCAAGCTCTTTCATCAGCAATCTGTCCGGCAAAAACTGCTCCAGAATAACCACCCGATGACTGGAGGTTATCCCTACTATGCACACCCTCATTATTGGGAACGTCTTCAACCTTGACGTACATTTTTAACAATTTTATTACAATAAATTCCCTGTATTCATTCGGAATCCGCAAAAAAATCTCTAAGAGTTTCATCATCTTCGATGTTAAACTCAAAATAATAAGCAAACCCCTGCGGAGTCATTGAATACGGAAATCTACCGGTT